GACCTGGGGCTGAGTCTTGGGCGGGTAGACCTGGGGCTGAGTCTTGGGCGGGTAGACCTGGACCAGGGGGTGGGGCGGGTAGACCTGGACCAGGGGGTGGGGCGGTGGGGCCTGGGGCTGAGTCTTGGACGGGTGGCCCAGGGCCTGGTGTTGGTAGTTGAGACCCTGGGACTGGTAGCCTAGGACCTGTGGCTGAAGCTTGGACAGGTGGCCCGGGGCCTGGGGCTGAGACTTGGACGGGTGGCCCGGGGCCTGGGGCTGAGACTGGGACGGGTGGCCCGGGGCCTGGGGCTGAGTCTGGGACGGGTGGCCCGGGGCCTGGGGCTGAGTCTGGGACGGGTGGCCCGGGGCCTGGCGTTGGTAGTTGAGACTCTGGGACGGGTGGCCCGGGACCTGGTGTTGGTAGTTGAGACCCTGGGACTGGTAGCTCATGTCCCAAATTATAGGCCCAGAGTCCTGATAGGAAGCTGTTGGTAAATCACTAAAGGTCAACTATCCATCACCATCATCATCAAACTTGTTCACAACATGTTGCAAGAGCACTTTTCAGATTCATTAACTCAAAAATAAGACTAGAACTTTGCATCACAATAATAATTTTAACTTTTGTCTTACATTCAATGCTTGTCTGAAGCGCTCCAATAAGCTGCAGCCATAGCAGCATCACACTACAAAAGACAGACATTTTTAAACAATCTCAGCCATTTCAGACATTTTAAATGTATCATATGATGTTTATATTATAGATTATCATATGTATGTATACGATATCTATGACAGTTTAGTACAGAAAGAACCACTTCAAAGTTACCGTAGAACAAGCCCCATGGCTTCAGCCAGAGATACGATCAAATGCAAACTGAAATGCTTCTGTATGACATCAGCTGACCCAACACAGCCAAGCGTCTGTCTTCTTTCCACAGCGGTGCCGCAGCAGAAAAACCTGCAACGCAATTACTTTTTTAGTTTTGACAGCCAACCTCAGCTCTCCGCCCCTATCAGGTTGATTGAGAACAGGTGGGAGCAAAGAGGCTGGGTTCATTGTGATCCACAGCTGTCCTTCATTTACAATAGTGTCAGTTCTGCAAGAGAGACACAATCCCCAGACTCTAGCTGTCTGGGTTAATCAAACGGTTCAAGTCGAGGCAGTCTATCATCTTTGTTGAGTAAAGTGCATTATGAGATACTTTTGATTGTTAAGATCATTATTATACAACTGGTAACAGTCATGGTTGCAAATGATTACTGTAATTGTGCCTTGTTACTGAAAGCATCAAATAGAATAGTATTTATGAAGTTAGCATTTATTACAATCTGATATTATCTAGACTGCCAGGGCCCAAAGCAGTTTCCTATTACTTTGGACCTGAAATGACAGATACAGTAGACATTACACATATAGTCTTCTCTCTGTAGAAGACGGGTATTTGACCCAGATCTGCAAGTACATGTCGACACATACAATAAACCCAAACATATATTATCATGATAAATTAAACCAAAATCACTATAAATGTGTTTTTAAATGTCTTCACTGCCTCAAACTTTTGGCTGCTCAGCTTTAAGACTTGATTTTCATGTCAGATGGCGCCATCTTGTGGCAGACAAAAAGTATTCCCTACCCTGATAATACACACTCGTGCACATAACAGGTGACAAATATAAAATAAATGAGTTGAGAAACATACAAGGCTTCTATACATGAATGGCAATGCCGTGAATCATGTGCTATGGCCCCCACAGTCCCCAGATATCAACCCAGTTGAACGCTGCCATCATTAAAAGGAGGAAAGAGGGTTTCCCCTCAGCTTAGTGGTATTTTCACAGGCTTTTTGTAAAGGAGTGTTCGAGCTCTGCTGGAGGCTTGTGGTGGAACAACAGCTTGAGACAATGTATATGTTTTTTATTGATTAAAATAAAGAGATGATGTCAATTGTGTCGGTGGTTTGAGGGCAAAATATCTTTGACAAAGCTATGTGGACAAAATCACAAAAACACTGAAAGCTGCTATTATCATTTCTTCAATATTTACGATGAATCACATAGCTTTCTGTTTAAAAGCGGTTGTTTGTAAAAGCACATCTTTTAACACCTCGTTTCTGCATGTCCCCTTCATCTCTAGGCAACGTTCAGAGTCTTTAAGCTCATTGTTGTGATTCTCCAGACTCTGAGACTTGGGATGTACCCTTGGAGGAGCAGTGCTCGCGCATTTAGAGTCAAATAGACCATAAAGCAGAGTATGCGTTAGGGGCGGGGCTTACTGTGATTGACAGGTCAACTACACACAGTAATCTATCAGAAAAAAAGGGTAAGAGTTTAGGTTGAAAATATGCTCTTTGGTAAATGCAGTAACATTAGATAACCAGCAGATGGAGCTCAACCTGCACAAAGGACACAGCACAGGTCACATCACTGTCACTGCAAGATTTAATACATTACCCTGTGATTAACAAGAAGCCAATGATCCAGTTGGAGGAATCTCTTAAACCGGCTTTTTTGTTCGTTTCTTTTTATGGTCCTAGCTGTTATAATAATCTTTAATCATGTATTGTACTGTTAACCTTCACTGTTGCAGCAGTAATACAGTTTTTCCCACAGGGGAACATAAAGGTTTCACAATAGGAGATTCTGTTAAACTGCTGACAGTCAGCAGGACTGAGAGGGAGCTGAGGTAAATCAAGATAGTGATGAATTGAACATTACAGGTGGTTAGGTTACTAAATCTAAGATGCTGCTCTAGGGCTTTAGGTCTTGTTATGTTAAAGGTAAAACTGGTTGTAATCTTGATTAAAAATAGACATTTAAACCCTTATTTGTCTTTGTCAGGACGGTATTCTTTCTTGATTGTGTTTATCACCATTCTATCTGTCAAGTTGGGATATGTGTCCTTAATTAATGCTTTGACAAGACATTTTCTAACCATTTAATTAAAATGCCAATAAAAGCTTACTTTTGCTCGAGTTAACATAACAACACAGATAATTTCTGGAGATAGACTATCCACCCCCTCAAAGGTGGACCAGTGGAGACCTGTGTGATTTGCTCCACTGACAGTAAACATGTTATTTATTCTATCCTCTGTCATTTCAATGAGGTCATTCCAGTTGTATCATTTATAGACCCTGGCACTCAGCCCATGCATCTCCGAATTACACATAAAACAGCTCTTAACTTAATAAAGTCTACAATTTTAGATTAGCCTTGGTATTAATTGCTTTCATGTTGCTATGAATAAATAAATACATAAAATAAATCTGTGTTTTTATATGTGTAGACTTTGTGTTTGGATTTACACAACCTGTTTGCATTCATGCCATTGTGTTTAGTTTATGCACTTTATTTGTTTTGTTTTTTTGCACTCTATATATTTGTACTGTAAATATATTGTACAAACACCTATGTATATATAACAAATATATAAATATAATATATAATATAATGATATATAATATAATAATATATAATAATATATAGGTGTATATGGACGTAGCCAATATAACCTATATCTATGTATGAATGTGTTTGTATATGCTCAGGTATATAAATTTACCTCATTGTTTATTATGTAAAGCACTATGAACTGCTTTAGTTTCAAATGTTTTAAAAATAAGATCTGTCACCGAGATGATTTCTTTTTTATTTTCAGTCAAAGCTAACCTGACCGGGGTTAACAGGCTTTAATGAGAGCCATCCGTCCCACCCAGGATTAGATAATCCAGTCTGGGACCAGAACTGTGACCTCAGGATGACGCGCCGCTCCGGCCCAACCCATCCTGCGATGCACCGCCGCTGTCTGCAAGGACTAAGCACCAGCAGCCCGGTTCATCAACGGCTACGCATGCTTTGCACCGAAAACAGACCGACTGTCGACCCGCTGCTGCAAGGTGAGTGTTTTACATTTGAGATTTTAGTGGCGTTATTTTGGTCAAGAGGTGGATGAGGAAAAAATGCTCCAGTTTGGCAGCATGCGTCGGAGGCTGAAAAAAAAAAAAGCCCGATGCCTCGGTCGGTGTTAACGGGAAAGACACCGCCTTATTACGCGCATTACGCTCTCCTAATGACATGTCGTCTTTAAACAGGATGTCGTTACACGTCTTAAAGAACAGAAGAGGCGATCTCGGTTGGTGTTGTTGTTTTGTATCGCAGTGGCACAAAGGCGGCGTATCAGCGGATGATAACGGTTAAACACATCAACGGTGTTTCATCGTTTTGTACGCGGGGTTAAAGGCCCTCGAGGCTGGATTAAAATACACAGTTAGTCGGTAGAATCAGTCTTTAATTCGTTGGTGGTAAACTGAACTGGTTCATCGCTGTCACATTAGCGGCCTGCGCCCCAATGTTATCACCGTTATTGACCCGATATTACTGGAACAACAGCGGGGACAATGCCACCGTTAAGTTTGACCGAATGAAGAGGTGTGACTTCCGCTTAAAGTTAGCAAAATAAAAGCTCTCAGTGTCGTGGGGAAACGCTTTGAAATCACAGTGGAGGGTTTGCAAAAAGACAACAATATAAATACTAAAATATATACATATGAAGCAGTAAATTCAAAGAAGTGGATAGTTAGGAAGTATTTAGGAATATCTAACAAAACAGTATCAACAAAAGTATTAAATACATTTTAAAAAGTGAGACTCAAGAGCAAGGTAAAGCATAAAAAGTAGACTAACACGATACATGCAGTTGACAGGGTCGTTTTATGTAGAAAATAAAACAAATATTTGTACATACAAAGAGTGAGATGCTAATAAAAAAAAGGCATTCAAAAACAATTTAACGGTATTTTTTATGTATTTATTAAAAAAAAAATACATATTTTAAGATATGTTGTTACTCATTATTAAAACATCTGGGTCAGTTTGTGGTATCTATTTGTAGCCATATATTCACTCCAGATATTAGTTGATTTGACTATTTTATTATTATTGTCGGTGATACAAGCCTTTGTTTTCCAGTGCACACTCCCAGGCTTTTATTCTGAAGGCAGACTGGCTGTCCTTCCTGCTGTATTGTGATTGATATTTGCAGGCTGGTGTTGTGAGGTGCATTTCATGCAATATGACATAAACAGCAATATTACCGTCGTGTCCTGTCTACAGCATTAACCTGCCAGTTTATCTACTTAGATGCATTTATATGAAATAAAGTAAATCATCAGAGTCATCATGTGCTTTCATGCAGTGGTGATTCTTCACTGACATATTTTGTATATATAGTGATGTGTTTGTGTAGAATAATGCAAATGCATTTCACACATTCCCAGAGCTCAAGGTGTCTTCTTTAAAACCCAGTGTAGCAACTCATCACACCTGAGATAGGAGCCAGTGAATGCAGGGCTCAACAGTAAAAGTTGCCAGGTTGCAATTCGCAGTCACTTTGAGAAATTGGCGACCAATTCTTGTCCTTTGGTTGCCATCAGTGGCAACTACTTTTTAACATAGAAAACATACGGACAGCAAACAGCAAAAGGTTTACCCCGAAATACATACATTACAAATATTGCTGTTACAGTCAGAACCGTAACACGACAACGCTGCACGTCTTCATGTCTTAATTACTCAAAATATAATGTTACTAAAAATGGCAATCATAGGTTTTAGTTTTGGCAACTAAACACTGTTGCTAGAGTCAAGCCGTGGAATGCATTTATGCTTGAGAAATGACTTAAACATATAGCTGTTAGCTCTCTTCATAGTGAATGTCATTTCCAGCAGCATTATCCGAGCACAGCTTGAACCACCTCCATGTTTTCACTCTTCAATGTCCTCTAATGAGATCAGAGCTGGATCCGTCTGCGTCAGCAGCCAGTGTGAGAAAGGGACCTGTGGGTATCCAGCTTTATCGTCGTGACATTACAAGTTTAAAGCCTCGCCGCCTGCCGCCGTGCACATGTTTTTAAAACCACAGCTGATTCGGCGTGTCAGGCGGCGGCGTGCCTGTTGTCAGCGCTCAGCTGCTCCTCCTGATCTTGGAATGTGTCTCTCTGAATGTGTTATGTAACGGAGGCCGGGTATGCATAGTTTCTCTCTGTCTGCATGCGTGTGTTTGATATGTACGAGTATACCTGTGATCTGTAAAAACACCGTACGACAGATATCATGCAGTTCCTATTGTCTGTTATCTAGTTTCCCTGAATAGACCGCTTCAACACTCTTTAGTTATCAGTGGAAAGCAGCGTCGCCTGAATGCTTTGCTTGGCTTGTTTTGAAGGCTGTTCAATGTTGAAGGATTATATTTCGTTATTATTTTGAGATCTTTTCAAGCCGTGCCAACATCCCCAAAGCCATTATTATTGTGTGAACTCTATTATTGAGGTACTTCAAACAAAGCCACAAGAAAAAAACAAGTGTGCTGCACAACTTGTGCTTGTGTAACTCAGAGCATCGTATTCCCACTGATGCAATCAATGCTCTAACTCTCTGCAGCCATGACATTTAGAAAAGTGTCTTCCTCAATAAATCATTTATTTAGGAAGTATTTATTTTAATGGAAGTTTATGACAATTGCTGTCGTATGGCCATTCAGGGTCCTTTTCTGTTTCCAATCAGAGGAAAGTCCAGTATCACTCGGACTATAATTAAAGCATTAACATGATGCTTACTAATACATACTGTAGTCCAACTCTGCACAACAAGTACTTTTACTTTTGAATAAGTACACATTTTGTGGGTAAACTCCTGTTGATTTCTTGTTAGTTGTACTTGTAATAGAGTACTCTATTCTAGTCAAAGTGAAAGTACATTAGATATTCAGCTTGATGAAAACATCACCACTGTACTACTACTTTTCCTATTTAAATGCATTTTGCTGCTCATACATGTCATGAGAGTATTTTTACTTCGTGGTATCTTAAATATTTCCTCCTCTGCTGGCTTTGTCATTCTGAGTCACAGTGCATGACCGTCATTTATGTGTCTGAAAGTAAAATATGTGCATGGTGGATGTAACAGCTGTTCTTTTTGGGACTTTTGAGTCACACACATTGGCACACAGTTCTTGCCTTCTGGCTTGTTGTGGTAGTTCTGTTTCATTTATGGCTCTCTGACTGCAATGCCTCACTGATTTAAAGGCACCCAGAGTGAGCTGTGTGTGCGTGTGCGTGCGTGTGTGTGCGTGTGTGTGCGTGTGTGTGTGTGTGTGTGTGTGTGTGTGTGTGTGTGTGTGTGTGTGTATTTATTGCTGCAGCATATGAATGTTGCCTGGGCCTGCGCTGTATTTCGGGCTCATTTGTCTGACTGTGAACGAGCACTGGGAGCTGCCGGGACACCATCAACACACTGTGGACATTCTGTGCTGGTGGCTGGAATTGAACAACAGTCTGGTGATTACATCATGACTGGTGGTTTAGCTGCTGAATCAGGGTCGAAATATGGAGGGAGAGTCAGAGGCAACAACTTTTGCCAGCAAGTACAACAAAGGTGCTAAAGTTCAGAACAAATTTCAATATTGTGATTATAGTTAAGTGGCATAGAAATACAAATCCCTCAAGTTGCACTGGATGCATCACTGGTTCCTCATTATTTGGCTCCACAGACTCTCTGCTTCTCTGCTGCCTTTGCTGTTCCACAGTTACTGGCAGAAACATTCAGCTTGATGGAGAGATTAGTGCTCTGCTTAGAAGGGAGTACAGGCAAGACTCGCCCAGACATTCAAACTTATTGATTATTGCAGCTTTTATTTGTTTTATAAAATTGGTTTAACAACTTTAAAGATGTCCTCTAGTGTGATGATGATTTCCAATATTTTCAGACATTTTGTAGCTTCAATGACTCACCTTTTGATTGGAGGATTAGTCAACAGTTTATGAGAATCACTATTAACTGCAGCCCTGATGGCATTTTATTAGGTACGCTGGTCCCAGTGCCTTTCTACTGTGCGTGTTGGCCAAAGAGATTGGAGCCACCATTACTGTTACTATTGGACCTGTGTGTTAAACAAGTCAAAATCCCAAATGACGATATTTATTATTGAAGGTTTGTGATTGTTGTTGTTACACATACAGTTTACAGAGTTTTGTACGGTGGCCGACAAGGGCAATGTGCTGCATCAGAAACCACGGCCATTCAAAAACACATACGAAAATCCAAAACACGTACACACAGGCAACAACGGAAACGTGTTGCCAGTGGAAACAAAAGTACAAATACATGAAAAGCAAATACCAAAAAGTTGCAAAGTCAAAACACGGTGAAAGAATGCTGCATATCCAGTCAACACCATAGAAGTTCTCTAGATCCCCGAGGGGGGGGGGGGGGGGGACACGAAGAGGAAACGCTTTTATATTCAACCCCAAAGAAAGAAAACAAACAAGAGAGTGTGTTTGTTTTTGCTTTTTTTAAAGCAAGCAGCACGTTTCCGTTGTCGTAGTTGTTTGATTTATGTATGATGTTTTTGAATTTGCATCGGTTCTGGCGCTGCTGCACGTATAGAAATGTTTTGGGCCGTTGCAGCGCGTTTGACTTTGTCGTCCGTCGTAGTTTTGGCTCATGTAACCGTGAACCACAGTTAAAAACGTTGAACATAAGTTTAATTACTTCACCTATCGATATCATGATATTGTTTCCTGTATCAACCACTGTTTTCTATTCTTAAATTACGATAAATCTCTCGTTAAAATGAACTAATTATGGCCGACAAACTTCACAGCCCAGCAAAAGCTCAGAGTCAAGGCAAGCTGATGCACCATGAAATAGGGTGGTGTGTTCAGGCGTAACAACACAAAGGGAAAATAGATTCACCGTATGGCCAATACATCACAAATAAGACTCATTTTAAGTTGGTAAACATCTAGAATGCCCGCCTGAAATCATTTGTGGGTCAAACCAAGTCTGTGACCAGAAGGTTGTTGGGTCAACACTCTCCTCTGCTTCCTGTGTAAACAGT